CAACAAAACGAGAGCTCCAGCTTCAGCAGAAGAGAACCTCACCCTGCTCGGAAGTTTTATTAGGGAAATTGTAACCCATCTGCTCGTTCTTTCCCACGGCAGCGGCAGGGCCCGGATTACTAGGTTTGTAAAACCTCCCCCACCATCACAAATCAGGGGCTGGTTTATCCTCTTCCCATCACAACAAGCCAGGCAGCACAGGAGGACGGGAAGCCTGCAGCCTTCCCTTGTTGTGCCCAAGACCCGCAGGAAAATATGAGCCGGGCATGGAGCTCCTCCAGCACTCTTATTGATGGAACTAGCCCCTCCCCCCCAACGCAGAGCTGCTCTTCCTCCTCCCTTCATCCCTTCGGAGGAGACCCACCCCCCGAGCCTTTTAAACTAACTCGGAAGGGAGGAGTTAAATCGAGAGAGCGCTATCTCCCGGAGAGGGTGAAGAGCAGCAGCAGGCGGCAGCAGCGGGGGTGTGGGGAGTATTGTTCCAGGAGAGGCAAGAACAGCACTTCCCCTTTCGCTGTTGTCATGAAGCGAGGAACACAGCTACATCCCAAAGCAACTGGCAGCACCCCATGTACCGCCGCCTCCATACACAGCAACTCCCCCTCCTCCCTGCCATCGCTCAGCTCCCCCCTTCCGTCCTGGCAGCCAGAGTTGGATCCGCTCTATGGCAGCTTTCCTAGCCACGGTACGCCCCCCTCCCCCCGCAAAACCAACCGGGGGTGATTCAAAGGCAGCCCCAGGCTTAGGCTGCACTGTCTGCAGCAGCTCCCAACCCGGCCGCGCATCGCTGCCGCTGCTCCCCTGCAAGAGCCTTTGTTCAGACACGGCCCCGAACCTCTCCGCGCAACTCGGCTCCTGGGGTGTGTAGGTAACAGATCCCTGCCCCTCCCTCGCCCCACCGGGGCTGCTTCTGCTGATTCACTTCCTCGCCCTCCCGGGTTTGCGGGGCAGAGGCGGCGGCGGCGACTTTGGCATCTCTATTGTGGCCCAGGCTATGAGGATGACCCGGATTACGCGGCGGGGGGGAGGGGGTGCGAGGAGGGAGGGGACAGAGGGAGGAGGGATTGCATGGCCGGGATTACGGGCGGAGGGGGAGCGCAGGGGGGAGTGGGACCAGAGTTAAAGGGACGGGACGGGGGAGGAGAGGAAATAGGCGCTATGCGGAGTGCAGCGAGGGCAGCTGTGAAGGGCAGTTGCTAGGCGGGCAGAAGCCGCCTGTAACCTGGCCTTGGATGCCGAGGAGAGGCGTGAAGGAGCCATGCAATCTGGCTGCGGGGGCGG